CACAGTGACGATTTCAATTTCCCCACAAACCCTAAACCGATCTAGAGACACCGTCGTGATCAAATGGACCGGCGTCGAGTCACCGTCCGATCTCGATTGGTTAGGAATCTACTCGCCGCCGGAATCTCCTCACGACCACTTCATCGGCTACAAATTCCTTTCCGATTCGCTCAATTGGGAATCCGGGTCGGGTTCGATTTCTCTTCCTTTAACCAATCTCCGATCAGATTACACATTCCGGATCTTCCGTTGGACCCAATCCGAAATCAACCCGAAGCACCAAGATCATGACCATAACCCTTTACCCGGAACACGTCACCTTCTAGCCGAATCAACCCGGTTAACTTTCGGGTCCGGTGTTAACCGACCGGAGCAAATTCATTTAGGGTTTACTGATACGGTTAACGAGATGAGAGTGATGTTTGTAACCGGAGATGGAGAAGAACGATTCGCTCGTTACGGCAAAGTTAAGGAGAGACTCGATAACGTCGCGGTGGCGCGTGGGTTTAGATACGAGAAGGAACATATGTGTCACGCGCCGGCGAATTCCACCGTCGGTTGGAGAGATCCAGGTTGGAGCTTCGACTCCGTGATGAAGAATTTGAAACAAGGGATTAAGTACTATTATCAGGTATTAACCCTTTTTTTTTTTTGGGTCTAATCAGGTATAAACCCTAAAACCTCAATTTTTAGGGTTTTAATAACATTTTGATGAAGTCATAACCAAAAAAAAACTCAATTTTTGGTGTTTTTCGAAATTAATTTTGAGTTTTGATAACATTTTTCATCAATTTAGGTTGGGAGTGATGTGAAAGGATGGAGTGAGATTCATAGTTTTGTTTCTAGAAATGAGAATTCAGAGGAAACGTTAGCTTTCATGTTTGGGGATATGGGATGTTCAACACCTTACAAAACATTTATCCGTGGAGAAGACGAAAGTTTATCAACTGTGAAATGGATCTTAAGAGACATTGAAGCTTTAGGTGATGATAAAGCTGCAATTGTTTCACACATTGGAGATATAAGCTATGCGCGAGGTTACTCGTGGATTTGGGATGAGTTCTTTGCTCAGATCGAGCCGATTGCTTCGAAAGTACCTTACCATGTTTGCATTGGTAACCATGAATATGATTGGCCTATGCAGCCTTGGAAACCGGATTGGGCTGCTTATGTTTATGGTAAAGATAGTGGTGGCGAATGTGGTGTACCGTATAGTGTTAAGTTCAATATGCCGGGAAATTCATCGGAAGCCACGGGTATGGTTAAAGGACCTCAAAGTCGGAACCTTTACTATTCTTATGATATGGGTTCAGTTCATTTCGTTTATATTTCGACTGAGACGGATTTTCTTAAAGGAGGGAAGCAGTATAGTTTCATAAAGAGTGATCTAGAGTCTGTTAATAGGAGTAAGACACCGTTTGTTGTTGTACAAGGGCATAGACCGATGTACACTACAAGTACTAAGGTCAGAGACACGGCGATTAGACAGAAGATGATTGAGCATTTGGAACCGTTGTTTGTCAAGAACAATGTGACGGTTGCTTTATGGGGACATGTTCATCGATACGAAAGGTTTTGTCCGATTAGTAACAACACTTGTGGTGAACTTTGGCAAGGAAACCCTGTTCATCTTGTGATTGGTATGGCTGGAAAAGACACACAACCGATTTGGGAACCGAGACCTAATCACCCGGATCTCCCGATCTTTCCTCAGCCTGCTCGGTCAATGTACCGTGGAGGCGAGTTTGGGTACACTCGTTTGGTTGCTAATAAGGAAAGACTCACTCTTTCGTATGTGGGAAACCATGACGGAGAAGTTCATGATGTGGTTGAGATTTTGGCTTCAGGGGAAGTTATAAGCGGTAGTGATGATGATGGTACCAAAGACTCAAACTTTGGATCTAAATCTGAATTTGCAGCCTTGTGGTACATTGAAGGAGCAAGTGTGATGGTTTTAGGAGTGATTTTGGGGTATTTTATTGGTTTTTTTAGTCGTGGAAAGAAAGAATCTGGAATTGGATCATCTAATAATGGTCGTTGGATCCAAGTGAAGAACGAAGAGACATGATTCAACTAATTTGTTTTTGTTTGTTTGCAACACATATATTTGTATATATCAACAAAGTACATCCAAAAGCTTACTAATTTTGAGGTATAAGTATATAAGTTTTCT